GTTAAAAAAGAACAATTTTTCCAATGGTTTGTTAAGAATTATGTATGAGTAAGGTTAAGGAAGTGTTGTTATAAGAAATATTACTGACACGAAATCTTTCCGTAGACTAACATAGACTGTTTACTTCTCTTTGGTTACTACTAATTTAAGTAAGGGATACGCTGTCCAAATTAGACACTTTTATACATTCACTTATAAATTTATCTTCTCTCTCAGCATGTGATACATAGGCTAAACGAACAGACTAGGTCACTCTCAGTTATTTAAACACTATTCAGCACAGGTAAGTAAAGATTGATTAGATATATTAAAAGTTCATTATTACTTTATTTAGTGAGTATTGATTAGATATTTATAATTCAACATCACACACAAAATCCTAGAGAATCTTTCGATTCGTTCTTACATTTAATTTACTCTGCTAACACTGATTAATTATTCAAAGTGGTTTTCACACTGTCTACTGTATTATTATCTTTGCTACCCTTGCTTACTTACGCATGTTACTCCTAATGGAGCTGCTCTTGCTTTACCGATCCGCGCCTTCACATCTGCATCAGATCCACCGTGTTCATCAATGATGCTGCCCAAATATGTAAACGTTTTTACATCTTCCAAATATTCTCCGTCGATTGTGATTGGATTGGTGCATGCTGTGTTGTATCGGAAAATCTTGCTTTTCCCTTTGTGTATATTGAGACCTACTGCTGCTGAGGCTGCTGCCACACTGTTCGTCTTCTCCTGCATTTGTTGTTGCGTTCGGGATAGAAGGGCCAGATCATCTGCGAAGTCTAGATCGTCCAACTGCATCCTAGATATCCACTGTATCCCGCGTTTCCCTTCAGAGTTTCTTTGTTGTGTCATACAGTTGTCTCATGTTTCCTTCTCTTGCAACATTTTCCGTCGTCATTGCTAAATCTTCCACATATTTACGTTTGTCGGTTCTGATGCCCATCTTCGCTTGCTTGTTTGCTTCTGCGTATTTAGCTTGTGCCTTGGCTTTTTCTGCTCTTGTTCGACTGGTATTGATTGCTGCCTTCTTGTTCCTCCTTTCTTGAACACTATCCAGTGTATAAACAGTGATCTATTTTTTGTGATGGTGCTTCTTGTGACCCAGAACCTCATGACATGTTGAAGTGTTGAGTTTGTCGGTATCCCGAAGAAAAGCCGTATTGAGCTTTTTTGATATTGTCCGCCCCATTGTCCAGTGCTTCTTGAGTTTCAATTTCATCTTGGCGACCAGCAAGTGATGATCTGATGCTATATCAGCTCCTCTCTTGGTTCTCACGTCCTCTATAGTCCTCCTGAACGATTTGGTTTTGCGTGGTGTGATCCGGTGAAGTCCATGTGGTTTTGTGTATGCGTTTATGTGGGAATATGGTGCCACCTATGACCAGTTTATTGAAGGCAAATAGGTTTGCAAATCTCTCACCATTTTCGTTCCCTTCTCCCAGTCCGTGTTGTCTATTCCAACCTTGGCATTTAAATCTCCCATCAGAATGGTCAGGTCTTTTGTTGGGCACTTCTCGATGATTGACTGCAGCCTATTGTAGAATTGATCTTTAGCGTCTTCACTGTAATCGTTGGTAGGCGCATAGCATTGAATGATGTTCATTGAAATGCCTTCTTTCTTTGTTTTGAAGGAGGCCTTGTTGAACCTTGGTCCATGAGATTCCCATCCTATAAGTGCCTTTTGTGCTTGTTTGGACAGCATCAATGCAACTCCGTGTGTATGTGGGGCATTTTCTTCTTCATGACCGGAGTATAACAGTCGCTCTCCTGAAGTTAGTCGTTGTTGTCCAACTTGCGTCCAATGTGGTTCACTGATCCCAAGCACCTCTAGGTTGTACCTCCTCATTTCTGCAGCAATTTGGAAGACACCCCCGGTCTCCCACATTGTACGAGTATTCCATGTACCTAAATAAATGGTCGCTCTGATTGTTCCAATCTGGTTCATCTTTGGTGCTGTTTGCTGGTATTAGTTTGTCTGCGAAATGTCAGATTTATAATGCGCTAGTGAGAGTTGTTTTGCTACATGCTTGTGAAACCTGGCCTGTGAGATGATGTTAAGAAACTTTGTTTATTCATCATTGTCTATGAAGGATTGCTGACATGCAGTGGCAACACTATATTAGCAATGGGGAGGATTGGGAGCGTGTATTTGGGCATGGTGACGATCATTTGATCGGTTTCTCCATCTTGGAACATTGGTCAGGTCCTTTGTTGGGCACTTCTCGATGATTGACTGCAGCCTATTGTAGAATTGATCTTTAGCGTCTTCATTGTAACCGTAGGCAGGCGGAGTTATCTTTGCTACCCCATACCTTTTAATTGGTCTAGTTACTTACTTACGACTGCTTATCCTCGTGAACGATCATAGGCCACTCACCAGTATTCTCCATCCAACCCTGTCCTGCGCAATCCTTTCCAGCTCCTTCCAATTGTTATTCATCCTTTCCATACCTGATTCCATTTCCCAACGTAATGTGTTCTTTGGCCTTCCTCGTTTCCGCTTCCCTTCAGGATTCCAAGTTAGGGCTTGCTTCGTGGTGTAGTTTGATGATTTGCGTAATGTATGTCTTATCCATTTCCATCGTCTTTTCCTAATTTCCTCTTCAGATGGAAGCTAGTTTGTTCGCTCCCAGAGAAGGCTGTTGCTGATGGTATCCGGTCAATGGATGTTGAGTATCTTGCGTAGACAACCATTTATAAATACTTGTACCTTCTTGATGGTGGTTGTTGTAGTTCTGAAAGTTTCAGCTCCATACAGCATAACTGTCTTGACGTTCGTATTGAAGATTCTGACTCTGATATTGGTTGAAAGTTGTTTTGAGTTCCATATGTTGTTCAATTGTAGGAATACGGCCTTTGCTTTGCCAAACCTCGCCTTTACGTCTGCATTTGAACCTTCTTGTTCATTGATGATGCTTCCCAGGTATGTGAAGGATTCTGGTACTGACAGTAGTGTAATATTTCTGTGCTTTTTACATTTGCTCAGTTCTTTCTTTGGAATCTTGATGAAGTGTCCTTTTTTCCAGTCCATCGGCACTTGTTCCTCCTCCCAAATCTTTTTGAATAGAAGGTAAAGCATGTTTGTAGTTACTTCGATGTCTGACTTCAGTGCTTTGGCTGGTGTATTGTCAAATCCAGGTGCTTTCCTGACCTTTATTTGTGTGATGGCTGTTCTGATTTTTTCTGTCGTTGATGAATTGACATCTATTGAATGGTGTATGTGCTGCTTTGATGTCCGGTGGATTCATTGGAGCCGGCCTATTCAAGAGTTCATCAAAGTACTCTACCCATCTGTTCCGCTGTTCTTGAATTTTAGTGATTGGCTTGCCTTCTTTTTCGTTGACCGGTCTCTCTGGTTTACTATATTTCCCTGCTAGTTTTTCTTCGTTGTATCATAAAGCCGTTTCATATTTCCCTCTCTTGCAGCTTTTTCCACCGTCGTTGCTAGTTCCTCCACGTATATCTGCTTGTTGGCTCTAATGCTCCTCTTCACTTGCTTGTTTGCTTCTATGTACACAGCTTGTGCTTGGACTTTCTCTGTTCGTGTTTGGCCGTTGTCAATTGCTGTCTCATTGTTCTTCCTTTCTTCGATCCTCTCCAGTGTTTCTATAGAGATCCATTCCTTATGATGATGCTTCTTTAGGCCCAGAACCTCTTGAAACGTTGAAGTTAATGCTTCTTTGATACCTTTTCATTTGTCCTCCATGGTAGTTTCTTCTTCCTTCAGTAGATCCTGTAAGGCATGGAACCTGTTGTTGAGAGCTATCTTGAATTCATTGAGTCTGTCAGTATGTTGAAGGAAGGCTGTATTGAACCTTTGTATTGCTGTTTGTCCAGTTCTTCTTTAGCTTCAGTTTTAAATTGGCTACAACTAGGTGGTGATCCGAAGCTATATCAGCTCCTCTCCTTCTTCTCACATCTTCCATTGTCCTTTGGAATTTTTTATTGATATAAATATGATCTGTCTGGTTTTCTGTGGTGTGTTCCGGTGAGGTCCATGTAGCTTTGTGTATACATTTGTGTGGAAATATTGTGCTTCCTATGACAAATTTGTTAAATGCACACAGATTTGTAAATCTTTCCCCATTTTCGTTTCTCTGTCCCAGTCCATGTCGTCCCATAATATCTTCATATCCGGCGTTGTCTATTCCAACTTTGGCATTTAGATCTCTCATTAGAATGGTGATGTCCTTTCCTGGGTATTTCTCTATGATTGACTGCAGCCGCTCGTAGAATTGATCTTTAATGTCGTCGTTGCTATCATTGGTGGGTGCATAACATTGAATAATATTCATTGTGATCCCCTCCTTCTTTGTTGTG